ACAGCAGCCGCCCCCCATCGTTTCACGACCCCTCCCCCGTCTCACGAACCCCCCCGTGGCCGCGGTTTTTCCCCGCCGTACCGTTGGAGGCCATGGCGCTCCCGCCCTGCCCGGCCGCTGCCCCTCCACGTGGCGCTCGGAGCTCCCCTCGGCCGTTCCCTTCCCTTTATAACTTCGTGTCTCCGCCCACTCCGCGCCTCCGGGCGTGCTGATTGGCTACGCGCCGGAAGGGGCGGGGCATAGGGCGGATGGAACGTTGCGGGGCGGGTCACTCGCTGGGAGCGTGCCATAGAGACGGCGGCGGCGGCGCCGGCGCCTATGGACGGGTGAGGGAACCCTATAGGAACCCCTAAAAACCCCATAAGGGCCCTCGGCCGCTAACACGGACCCTATTGGAGCCCTAGCGGGCTCTGTGTGCTTATAAGGACCCTATAGAATCCTCATATGGGCCCTCATTGAGCTCTGTTCTCCTATAGGAGCCCCATAAGGACCCTCAATGGCCTTCATTCCCCTATAGGGGCCCTATAGAATCCCCATAGGGGCCTTCATTGATCCCTGTTCTCCTATAGGATCCCCATAAGGGCCACCAGTGACTTTCATTCCCCTACAGGGACCCTATAGAATCCCCATAGGGAGCTTCATTGACCACCTTTCTCCTATAGGAACCCCATAAGGGCCCTCAATGACTTTCATTCCCCTATAGGGACCCTGTAGAAACCCCATAGGCACCCACATCGAACCCTGTTCTTCTATAGGAACCCCTTAAGGACACCCAGTGGCTTTCATTCCTCTATAGGAACCCTATAGAATCCCCATAGGTGCCCTCACTGACCCCTGTTCTCCTATAGGAACCCCATAAGGGCCCCAGTGGCCTTCATTCCCCTATAAGGACCCTATACAAACCCCATAGGGGTCCTCACTGACCCCCATTCTCCTATAGGAACCCCATAAGGGCCCTCAATGACCTTCATTCCCCTATAGGGACCCTATAGAAACCTCCTGCGGCCTCCATTCCACTATAGGGACCCTATAGGAACCCCTAATGACCTTAATTCCCCTATAGGGACCCCACAGAAGCCCATAGAGGCCCTCAATCCCTAACAGGACCCCTATAGAGACCCTCAAATCCCACGAGTGGGACCTACTTTATCAAAATCCATATATCCCCTATAGGGGATCCCCAAAAAGGGAATCCTATAGGTCCCAGACCCCTTTTAGGGTCCCCTGCTGGGAGTTGTGGGGCCGGGCTTGGCCCATAGCAAAGGTCAGGGCTAAGAATAGC